AATGGGTCCAGACACAAGAGCCTGCTGACCTCTGCCCACATTGCATCATCCTCCCTCCCCTGGAAAAAATGGATATTGTTGCCAATGCTGTCTATTACTCACCCGAGCCAGTTTAAGAGTGTTCATGCCAGGCCATCTTTTACTTTTAGATGCCTTGGACTTTTATGTTTCTGAATCTCCACAGTGACTTAGACAAGTTAATAACTTATTTGTACTTAGTTTCCTTTGTCTGTAGTATGTGCATAATTCCAACCTACATTTATATAGGAGTTAAAGGAAATTGGCTCTGTGGAAATTTTACTACCAGTTTCAGGGTATGGTATGCACTCCAGGCTTTTTGGTAGCATCTGATGTCCTGCATAGTGTTATGAAATGATATAGAAAACATATTTTAAGCCGGGTATTGGTGACACACGCCTTTAATCCCAGCACTTGGGATGCAGAGGCAGGTGGATCTCTGTGAGTTCGAGGCCAGCCTGGTCTACAGAGTGAGTTCCAGGACAGCCTCCAAAGCCACAGAGAAACCTTGTCTCGAAAAACCAAAAAAAAAAAAAAAAAGAAAACATATTTTAGTCTTCATCCATTAGCCCATACATGTATCCATCCAATAAATACTTGTCTAGTGCTCATGGCTAGGTCCTGTGGCAGTGGGATTGCAGCGGGGGGCGGGGAATATGGCCCACCATAAACAGAACACCATATTCTAGCCAAGGAGACAGGCATGGAAGCAAACATTTTTTTCAAAATCACTCTGACCCAGATTCTTGAAATAGTTATTTCTCTCATGTCCTAAAAGTCCTTATCTATTCTCTGGCTAAATTCCTTTCATCCTTTTGTACTGAGGCTAGCTCAAAAGATATGATGTAGAGAAGGAAGGTAATTGGCAGTTTCGTCCTAAGAGAACCAAACCTAAGCGCCATGGTGTTCATTTGAACCTCAGCTGTTTCATAGCCACAAAATTCTGGTCAAGAGACCGTAGGCTGTAATTTCCTCTCTTTGTTCAACAGTCAGGCTCACAGCTAGCTTGCCTTTCACACGATTGTTGTGAGCTTACAGCGAGATAACGGATTAAGAGATTTTCGACTTATCACATGCACACACAGTGTAGTATTATCTCTGATGATGGAAAATAATTAAAATTATGTAAATGTCTCAAAACAAGACTGCAGTAGGTTGAGACTCACCCTGTGAATCATTCTAGCCAGTTGACTGTGAGCAATAATGATGTGTTGCCATGCTTAAGCTATGCTAATTAAAAGCTAATGTGTCCCCTTCACAGTTCTTCTCCCAGGTGTAAGTAGGCTAAAGACCACAAGTGCCATATTGTGTAACTCTGTAATGGGAGCAAACCAGATCGCCAAGCTGCTGTGGATGGGAACCATATAAGAAAGCCACTTGACCCATAGCATATTTTCTAAGAGGATGAAATAGACTCTTATGCCAAGTGGTTGAAATCTCAGAGTTACTTATTACAATATATCCAATTCTATCATGAGTATAAATGCAGTTAACTCCTTCAGATTTTCAATACATTCAGATATACAGGCAACTATATAATACAAAATATATTTGCATATGTATTGCTACATGTATCCTTGCTATTAATGCTCTTATTCAACACATTGTACCTTTTATTATTTTCACTCAGTAATATAGGGAGATGTGTTTTATGTTGGTTCCTACAGCTATACCGTCCTTTGACTGTCAACTTGAAACAGCCTAGAGTCACGTGAGAAGGCAGTTTCAGTTGAAGGATTGCCCTGATCATGCTGTCTGTAGGTTATTGTCTTGATTATTAATTGACATAGGAAGGCACAGGCCATTCCTCAGGCAGATGACCTCACGCTAGATAAGAAAAGTGAGACAGCGAGCAAGACAGCAAGCAGAGTTCTTTCGCAGTTCCTGTCCCCACAATTCTGCCCGACTTCCCTCAATAATTATAACTAGCAAATGTAAGCCAAACCAGCCATTGCTTTCCCAAACTGCCTTTGGTATAAGTGTTTTTAATCACAGCAACAGCATGACACTAGAATATACCTTATTCTTTTTAAAAATTATTTTATTTTAATTTTTAATTATTTTTCCCAATATACTTTTTAAATCAAATTATAAACATGCTTGCTTCACATGTCAATCCAAGCTCCCTCTCCTTCCTTGCCCTCCACCAGCTCCCCAACCCCCACCCAATCCCCACACCATTCCCCAGGGAGGGTGAGGTACTCCAGGGGGATCTATTGTTTTAATACTATAGGTAACTCCAGTTGCAGTTTCCCCTGCCTCCTCTCCTCCCAGTCCCAGCCTCCATTATTTCCACTGTGTTCCTACCACCCAATACATTCCCCCTCCATTTCTGTTTAGGAAAGGGCAGGTCTCCCATGAGTATCAGCAAAACGTGGCATATCAAGTTGCGGTGAGACTAAGCACCTCCCCGTGTACTAAAGCTGGACAAGGTGACCCAGTAAGAGGAATGGGGCCCCAAAAGCCTGTAAAGGAGTTGCAGACAGCACCATCTTTAAATTGGGTTATTTGGTTTGTTGCTATCTAGTTTCTTGAATTCTTTATATATTTTGGAAACCAGCCCTCTGTTGGATGTGGGGTAGGTGAAGATCTTTTCCATTTTGTAGGCTGCTTTTTTTTCTATTAACAGCATCCTTTTCCTTACAGAAGCTTTTCAGTTTCATGAGGTCCCATTTATTACTTGTCAGTCCTGGTGTCTGTGCCATTGGTATTCTGTTCAGTAAGTTGTCTCTTGTATCAATGCATTCAAGATTATTTCCCATTTTCTCTTCTATCAGGTTCAATAAACATACCTTACTCTTTTAGCAGATAAAAAATTCTATATTAGATACATGAACCTTCCTTTATTGATGGATAATCTCTTTTTTCCCTCAGATCATCTAAGGGAGATCTATTTGTATCTGTTCCTTGGAACATGCATGGTTGACATCTTGGAATAGTTATTTGGAAGTAAAATTGTTGAGTTATAAGGCATACACATTTGCAATATAAATAAATGCTTCCAAACTACTTACTATAGTGACCATATGAATTTTCTCCCACCTGTAGATTATGCGTCTCCCTTCCTCACACATCCATTTTAGTTTTTAAGTGGGAATTTCTAAAATTTTCTGTTTATTTATTGTTGAATAAGAAAATACCTCAAAACAGTGCTTTGAAACCACTGTCATTATTCTCTTACGAGTCTATAGCTTATTGGATTCTGTTGGATGTTTCCCTACTCCTTGTCACACCATCAGCTTCTACACTATTGGAACTCGCTGACTGGGCTAGAGAGATGGAGATAGCTCATCTCTTCAGTCAATGCTGGCTCTCACCCATGTGACATAGACATTTCACAGAAGAGCTGGTGGGTACTGGGAGAAGCAGAGCTACCTATAAGCTTTTGATCTGACCCTTGAACTCCAAGAGTACTGCTTTTTCTGTAATGAATAGGTCAGAATACTCCTAAGACCATCCAGGTCCAGGGAGAGTGTAAAAAGATGTGGACATTGTTGGTGGCTATATTAGCTACTTTTTGAATCACTGCAACAGAAAGAATCTTGGCTTCTGCTTTCTTCTCTATGTACTTGTGCAGAACAATATAGAAGCAGAAGCATGTAGTAGGGAAAATTCATCTCACGATGGACAGGAAGCAGAGATGGGTAGATGGGTGGGAGGGAGACGGAGAGGGAGAGAGAGAGAGAGAGAAAGAGAGAGAGAGAGAGAGAGAGAGAGAGAGAGAGAGAGAGAGAGAGAGAGAGAGAGAGAGAGAGAGAGAGGATACCAGGATAGATACAGGTTCCAAGAACCCCCATCCCATTCCCTACTTTGTTCAACTGGGGCCCCACCTCGTTTCACTTCCTTCTACCAATGCTAGTACAGTATGAATCCTATCATATTATTCATCTATTGATTAGTTCAGGGGTCCCATGATTTAGTCACTATAGGAAGTATCCTCACATACACGCCCAGATATACACCTTACTAACTTCCTAAGACTTCCTTAACTCAATCAAGTTACAAAGTTAATCACGGTGTCAGCCATTTTCAAGGACTACACAGTTATCATACATAATCAAAATTGTATCTTTGACTTTGGAGGAAGATGAAGAAATCGTATCTACCTTTAAAAAAAAAGAGGGACTTAAAGTGTTTGATTCTTTAAAACCAAGTGATTGTGCTCATGGCAGTTAGGCTAGAGGCAAAGGAAGTCATATTGGGGATTGTATCAACCCAAAGACCACAACATCTACCGTGACTACCTGGGTGAACAGGTACACAGGTTACAATTCTTTCCCATTATAAATCTTTCTAAATGTATGAGTAGAATATAGAATGAAAAAAATCAGGTCAAAACACATATCCAACTATCTATCATGTGCCTTGGAGCTCAAGGTTAGACAGGAGTAGGAGCATTCAGAATAAATGATACAGAAGTGTACAAGGTCTATACACTCAGAGCGACAGTTCAGTCATTAATCTTATGCTCCTGAGATGGGGAAGGAGTGAAGTAGGTAGCAAGAGGTAGTTGTTAGAGGAGAGGGAAGGGGAAGGGGATGGGAAACAAGGTCTTGTATACCGCACGTATCACAAATAAAGCAGAAGCCTTTCCTGAGCTGGGCTCAAGATTTAGCCACACTGTTGGGCTGTTAACTTTGGAATGCTGGGAAGAAAAGAACTGGAGAAGTTTGGGCAAATGTAGCTTAGGGACATGTTTGTTGTATCCGTCTCTTTGTGGCTGGTAGAAAGGACCCTTTCTCTTAAAGTATTCATGATCTCTGGTGTGATATTTAAAACTTTTTGGTGATAGATAATTAAACATGACATTTAGGGCTTTCCAAAAATGTTGAGTGCTAAGCTAGAATCTAAGAGGTTTGTTTACTCAGGATCAATGAGTTTGGTGGACTAAGGGAGGAAGTGCAGGTGGAGTCTGCCCTGGTGCTAAGTAAGCAAGCTCTTTGCAGCCAAGTGTGGGCTTTTAATTTCTTTCTTTTTTTTAGTGGTGGAATTGCCTACTAGAAGATTCCTCACTGAATGGAAATGGGTATGTGATGTTTAGTGTGCATTTTCAACTTGATAGAATCCAGCATCACTCTGAGCATGCCTAATGAGGGATTATCTTGATTTCCTTAATTCAGGTCAGAAGACCCACTCCACTATGGGTGACATTCTTTCATACCTGGCTGGGATCTTGGGCTGAGTACATGGGGAAAGAGAACTAAGCAACAGCTTACTGCTCTCCTCTTTCTGACTGTGGATGTAGCATGACCAGCTGTTTCCGGTACCTGCTGCTGTGACCTTTTCCCAGCACCCAGATAAAAAATCAGACACTGGGGCAACATATTTATATTTCCAGCTCCGAGGGTAGAGGTAGGAGTAGGGATGGAGAGAAGTGGTTCCCTAGGGGCTTGCTGACCAGCATATTAGTGAACTCTGGGTTCAACGAGAGACCCTGTCTCAAAAAGTTAGTGGAAAGCAACTAAGAAGTTACCTGAAGTCAGCCTCTGGCCTTTCACCTGCACCTGTGCATGCACAAGTGTGTGTGTGCCCACTTGCAATGTCAGTGGAGGGTTTGAGGATTGGGGAGATTGAGAACCACCACTAAGATTTTGTTTATTTTTTTCTTTTCTTTTTTAATGTTCATACCCCTCAGTGATAGCGGCAAAACAACACTCAAAAGCCAGAGGCTTCAAGCCACAGCATCAGCTTCCTACAAAAGCCTGTGGGCTGGTGAGTGTTTCTCTGCTTCTGCCATTCTCTCTTGCATCTGTGCTCTGCGGTGACCTGAGTGGCCACGTGACCGTGGCAGAGATAGCTCACACATTTGGATATTAGCTGCATGTAGACTTGTCTAGGGGCTCACTTGGGATGCTGAGCTGTGCTGTATTATCTAAGCACCAGCAGGCTAGCCTAAGCTTGCCCACATGCCAGCGAGAGGGGCCGGCACCCAGACTTAGAGAAGGACGAATTTCAGAGCAGATACAGATTCAAGTTGAGGAAAACCTCAGTTCCATGTTCCAATGGGAGAAGTGGCAAAGCCACATTTTGTAGGATGTGGAAGCAGGAAATAGACAGATTTGGGTCTAATTTTGCAAATTATCCATCATAGGCTCTAAAACACCAGAAACACAGGGCTGAAGAGATGGCTCAGTGGTTAAGAACACATGTTCTTGCAGATGATCGAGATTCAGTTCTCAGCATTCACGTGACAGCTCACAACATCTGTAACTCTAGTTCTAGGGGATCTGACACCCTCTTCTGACCATCCAGGAACCAGGAACATATGTGATGCATATACATATGTGTAGGCAAAATCCTCATACACATCAAATAAAATAAATCTACAAAAATTAAAAAAATTCTTAAAGGATTTCCAAATATGACCTTGTTATATTTTCACTCTGTACTGGCTTCCTCTTGTATTTGTGCCTGAAGCATCTCCCACCATTTCTATTTACAAGACACTCACCTGTGTATACATTGGTTCCTGCCAGGAAGGGGTGAGGCTAATGGAGGGCCTGGGTGCTTGGATCTACTGTGTGCATGAGGAGGGTAGTTTAGAGGAGTAGATAAAGGCGGGAGAGGAGTGGGGCGAAAGGAGAGAATGGGGCTGGCTTTCGTGAAATGCTATGCAGATAGCATATATTAATTTTTAACTTTATAGTTCTCTGCTCTGTCATTTCCCCCTTTGAAGGGATTGTACTCTCAAATCACAGAAGATCAGCCAAAGGAATAAGGACTCAAAGGAACTCAAAACATAAAGCAGAATAATCAGGGATAGTAATGTGAACTTAGAGAAAGCAGGAAAGAAAAAGACTACTTGGTGAGTTCCTCTGATGCGGCTGAGCTTTGAACTCTGAGGTTACCGTGCATTTTAGTTTTCCTGTAGCTCCTGTACCTGTGACACAGTGAAAAACGTCCTTGTTACACAGTAAGTAGGGCAAAACTTCTGTCTGTTAGCATTCTGTCACGGAGCAGGGTGGGTGTCAGGAGGTCCCACTCTTCATTAGGCTCTGTAGGCAGTTGCTGAGGTTGCTCATGCTTCTGTAAGGAACCCTAATTAAACTCAGTGGGTTACCAAGGGAAAACAGCAGGGCTTAGGAGAAACCCCAGCCAGCAGAGTGGGCACTTAGCATGTGTGAGGACCTGAGTCCTATTTCCAGAGCCCATGTGAAAAGGTCAGACATGATGGTGATACGTGTCAGGTATGGTGGTACATGTCAGGTATGGTGGTACATGTCAGGCATGGTGGAGGTACATGCCAGGTATGGTGATGGTACATTTTAGTCATGGTGGTGATACTTGTGATCTCAGCACTGTGGAAGGGGAGATAGGAGGCTTTGTGGTGTTCCCTGGCCAGCTGCAGGCACAAACACAGAGCCAAACAGTCTAATTCATGAGCTTTGCATCAATGAGATATCTTGTCTTAAAGAAGGTGACAAATCCTGAGGATGATGATGGCCAAAGTTTTCCTCTGGCCTCCACATACATATGTGTACATAAATATGAACACACACATATATGCTTATTTTTAAAGGCATGGAAGTAAGAGGGGGGCTACTTGGGAAGAAGAAGAGGATCATCAGAGATGGAGGACAAGAGAGGATAAGAGGGGTAACTGTCAGGGCCGGTATATTGGAAATCTGTTCCAGCCTGCTTTGAGTTCAAAGAGTTCAAGTCACTCCTATTGTCTTTAAGATATTAGCCTAATGGCTACAGGTTGCCCTGGCCTTGGTGGCGAATGGCTCCTATCTAAATAATAATAGACTTGGGCCCACGTGAGTTTACATCTTGAAGGCTAGGTGATAATGCAGCTATGAAGTGTTGGTTGGCTAAGTAGACATGCAGCTATAGAGTGTCTTTAGGACACTATTTATTTGCCTTTTATACATGATAATAGAAGTCTGCCATTGTCCCTGCCTTTGGTTGGTTACTTAAGAGAATGTATGAATAAACCGAGGTATTCAGTATTAACTGATTCTGCCTTCCTGGCACGATCCTATGTCTCCGTATTTCCTTTAATGCCTATAGCTAGCCCTTCCCTCATCCACACTCCCCCACTCAGGAATGGATTTGGGGCTGTTTGGCTGGTCCTGATCACAGCCCCACAAACACAGGTCCCCGACATATGATCCCTCAACATGGGCTAATACAGATGGTCCGAGACTGGTAACTATAATCAAAATACATTATTTACATAATGTTTAAAAGTCATAATAAAATCCATTGTTATGCATAGTTAATATGTATCAACAAAATCTTGGAAAACTTAAATACCTGGGAGAATTTGTCTCTGAGTATTTGTTAGATGATGTAGGGTGATTTACCACCTTAGGGATGAAGAAATAAAGTCAAAGTTTACTAAGAAAAGTTGCCAAACCTAAAAGCTTAACTGACAGCTTTGCTTTTCTTATCCATTATTGAAAGTGAGTGATTGGAGGTATTGAGAGTCATTATACATCATTGAAAATTAGAGGGTGGAGAATGGAGTTGGGTAGCACAGAAGCCAGAAGACACTGGGTGTTCCTCTCTGTCACTCTCTGCCTATTCCTTTGAGGCAGAGTCTCTCTCTGAATCCTTGGTGAGGTTGGAATCCGAAAGCCCCAGTGATCCTCCTGTTTCTATCCCCCTCCGTTCCTGGAGTTATAGTATGTGAAATGGGGAAACCAACCTTGTTTCATGGATGCTGGGACTCTAACCCTCGTGATTACACACCAAGCATTCTTAACCAACACACTGTTTTGGTATCCTGAGTCTAGCATTTTCATCCCAGTGGAATCAGATGCTGAAATCTTCCAAAGTCACTAAAACCAAATGGAGCTTTTGTTTGTAGTCTGGGAAGGAAACACTTGGGATCTCTCAACTTTGCCAAACTGAAGGGAAATTAGCAATAGCAGGTGTGTGGAGGACTCTGAGGACAAATGTATTAGAGTTGAGACCATCTTTAGGATTCTTTGGATCATAAAAAAGTAATGCTTTATTACAAACAACTGACACTGGCACTAATTAGTTACTACAGTGGACACTAAAACACAGGTATAGAGGGCTTTGGGCTTAATGGATGTTTCATTACTGTCATTTAAAAATAATCAGTGATCAGTAAAAATAAAATAGAGGGCTTTCTTTTTAAAATGAAAACTAGGATAAAGGTTCTCAAGAAAAATTTAGTTTAAGACTGTAAGATTTTGCTCATAGGCTCTGTAGATGATTTACCAGTGAAAACAAAGCCCCAAACTCAACAACCACACTCAACAGATTCTGTAGGGAAGGAACCAGCTCAGAACTTGTCACAGGTGGCTCTGTGAAACCTAAGTCCTGGCATTCAGATTACCAGCATTTCTCAATGGCTTGGGGTGGAAATAATATGAGGTATTCCCCCTCTCCTGTCTGTCACTTGATCCTAGTCATTGTCTGGGACCACAGCTGGACTCTTATACATCTACACATGGCCTCTCCATGAGGTCTGGCCCAGCTTCCTTGAGGTATAGTGGCTAGGGTCCAAGAGTAAACACCCCAAGAGAACATGGTGTATGTGAAAGTGTTTGTATGATCTAGCTTCAAAAGCAGCAGAGCATTTCTGCTCTGTTGGCTGTGGAAGCTACAGAGTTTCACCAAGGTCCAAGCAGAAGAGACATAGACTGTCACTCACTGGAGGAATGTCAAGGTCATGTTAAGAGAATGAGATGAGGGCAGAGCTACAATAATCTTTGGGCAGCAACCCATCGGAGATAGTTGTTCCTTTTTCATTATTCATGGCTGGGGTTATTGTAGCCTGTGTCTTTCCTGGCACAAGAGTCTGGCTACTTTGGCCCCATCCTGGATAAAAAGAAAGTTCTGAACAAACTTACTCTGTAAATGGAATAGACAGAACTCTAGATTCACTCCTGTCACAGCCAGCTGGACCTCTTTCCCTATAAAGTTGTAGAAATCTGAGACATGCCCCCTGTCCTCAATTTACTAGTCAAAGAAACTTGTACCCTCCCTGTGCATTTTAGTTGCCTTCTTGAACAACACAAAGGTTGTTTTTAATGTGACTGCTTCTTGCCTTCTTTGAAAAAAAGTTGGTGGTGCTGTTTGGGAAAGCTATGTGACCTCTAACACATGGGGACTTTGTGGAGGAAATTTGTCACAGGGGATGAACTTTGAGGTTTTCTATCTACTTCCATACTGCTGGTGTGTGCGATAGGCTGGCCTCATGAATTTGTGGTCATGCCTTCCCTACTAGTATGGAATGTGTCCCTCTCAACCATAAGCCAAGTTATGTCTTAAGTTGCCCTTGTTGGAGTGACAGAAAAGAAAGGAAGACAAATCCTTTGCTCTACACCATAAAGCAATGCTTTGGACAACTTACCCCCCTCTCCTCTGTGGAAGAGCTGGCCTCACAGAAGTCCTCTCTTAGGGACCTCAAATTGCACATGGCTGATGGGTGGTTCTGATGTTCCAATGTCGAGCCATTTCTTATGCTATCTATGCCACTGAAGCACAGGAGTTTGAAGGAAGGTGTGTGTGTGTGTGTGTGTATGTGTATGTATGAAAGAGAGAGAGAGAGAGAGAGAGAGAGAGAGAGAGAGAGAGAGAGAGTTGTCAGGTGGGTGAAAGGGTGTATGGGAGCATGAATAAGTAGTCAGAGTTAAAACCATTATTGATGGTTTGATGGTTTCCAGTTTCAGCTCCTGGTCGTGTCCAGTTGTGCTTCATCTATTTAGGCTCTAAGAAACTGCGGCCACTACTGGGACTATTCCTACTTGCTTGAGGGGTACCAAATGTACAAACCACTGCCAGCTAAGATGTATCCCAAACTTATAAAACATGAACTTGACATGATAATTCAGATGAAACTCATCCATCTGAGCCATCCTCTTGACCCCCCTTCCACCACAGCCTGGTGCCCTCACCAGATACAACCTGGTGCCTACCCCCAAACATAGCCTAGTGCTGCCACCACCCCCCACAATAGCCTGGTGCACTCCCCCAGACACAGTCTTATGTCTGCCCCCCCCCACCCCAGACACAGCCTGGTGTCCATACTGTAGGATTCTTGATGAATCTCATCCTGCAATTTATTATTCTTTGAGAATGCAGAAAAGACAAGCACAAAGGTTGTAAATATCACCCTGGAAGGGACCTTGGGGAGACAATGTTACCTCCCCATGATGTTGCAAAGAAAGGAACTGAGTAATGAGAGGGGAGGTGATTTGCCCAAGGTTGGATATTAATTCACTAGGGAGGGGAATGTTGGAATGAAAAGCTGTTCTGATTGCCATTCAGGGAGCTGAATCAGCCACAGTCACCTGAGAGGAAGCTGGGAGCTGATTGAAGGACCAAATACATATTTGCTTCACTTTTCTCTGCACCTGTTGGCTCTCCCAGAGACAGAATCTGTGTGGAAATCTTCCTGTCAGCAGTGACAGACAGTTTGGTGGCCGTGCTGATATAGGGAGCCTGGAGAGTGGAGGGGACTAGAAGACACTCATTCTAGGGGTCAGATTCAATTTGAGCAATCCCAGCATGCTGCTGCAAATCTAGCAACACAGGCCAGGTTACAACAAGCATACACATGGAAATCACCTCAGCTTTTCCCAGCAGGGGAGGAGAGCTCTACCCAATGTTTCATCTGAGCCATTTCCAGTTAAAGGAGGCTCATACAGTGGTTTCCTTGCAACTTTTTATTCTGGAATTATTAAACAGAAGCAGACAAAATAGTCAAGGGATCTTCAGACAAGCTTTTAGGAAAACTTTATAGGTATATAAAACAAGCAGCTGCATGTATTGAAAGCATGTAATTGGAAAGGTTTTGATGCACACACATTCAAGATAATGAGTGTTCATTTTAAGCATCTCTTACCCTCATTTTTTTATGCTCCCTTGTAATCTGTGACCCCTGTGGTCTCTTCCATTGCCCTTTCTCCACTCTTCTTGCCCCTGTATACAGGAGATAACAACCTCTGCCCCAGTTGCCTTGAAATCACCACAGCTGTAAGCAGGGTGGTGGCGTCAGAGAACATATGTGTCACATATGCATCTCTGCCCCCATACATGCTCTGTCATGAAATACAACAAAAAATCAAGGAAGCTTTCAAGATAGTGACTTGCAGAACACAAAATAGGGGAATTGTAAGTCTAGGATTCTGTGACTACCTTGTTGTCATACTCAGGATATAGAGTAAAATGTCCAAGCTTACTTCTCAGGTTAAGACCCCATGATATCTCACCAATCCTTGAGCTTGAAATTCCACCAACTCCCAGGCTTACCCCAAACTCCGTACTTGAAATCCCACCAATCCTCAGACCTGGAAATCTCTACCCTGGAAAACTCCTCCCTCAAGAAACCCTATATAAGCTTATCTCCTGCTTAGGCTTCTCACCAGAACAGAGGCAGCCATCCTTCTGGGTCTTTCTCAATAAATCTCTCGTGTGAGGTTTGTTGTACAGTCTGACCCTGTGGTATTCCTTGGATTCAGAGCTGCAACACTTTCACTGGGGAAACTTTTCCCCCCTGCAGAGCTGTAACACTTACACATAAGGCTACCCTAGTTCCAACTCAGTATTTACCAGTGTATCCTAAGTGCCAGGTGTCACTTAAATTATCTGACACCAACTGGCAAGTTAAGCAATAGTGGAGAGACCACCTTGGATGCCCATTCCTGATAATGAATTTGATGTCTATAACCATTCTGGAGCCTTCATTCAGTGACTGATGGAAGCAGAGGCAAATACCCACAGTTAAACACTGAACTGAACCCATGGAACCCAGTGACAGAGAGAGAGGAGCGATGAGCAAATTGGCAAAGAATGGGCTGGCAAAACCAGCAGAGACAGCTGATCTGAACAGGGGAGAGCTCTTGGACCCAAGACCAACAGCTGGGAGGCCAGCATGGGACTGATCCAGACCCCCTGAGTGTGAGAGTCAGTGAGGAGGCCTGGGCAACCTATGGGGCCCTGAGCAGTGGATCAGTGTTTATCCCTGGCATACAAACAGACATCGAGTGTCCATAACACAAAGAGGGATGCTCTTTCATCCTGGACTCTTAGGGGAGTGCCTGGACCCTGCTCTGAGTGAAATGACAGACTCTAGATATCCCTTATGTGGAAGGAAATGGTGATAGGGTGGTAGGCTGGGGGGGGAATGGTGGGGTGGTGTAGGAGGAGGGAAGGGAGAAGGAACTGGAATTGATATGTAAAACAAGCTATTTAAAATTAAAATAATAAAATAAAAAGCAAAAAAATTATCTAAGACCATGTATTAGTCAGGTTTTTCAGGGAAACAAAACCAATAAAACACACACACACACACACACACACATACACACACACACACACACACACACATGAGTTATTTGGAGTCATTTGATCATTTGAAGGAATTGGCATTAGTGGTTATAGTATGGTGTGGTGCTTTGAATGAGAATGGCCCCCATAGGCTCTCATATTTAAATGTTTGGTTTCCAGTTGGTGGAATTATTTAGGAAGTACTAGGAGACGTGGTCTTGTTGAAGGAGGGGTGTCACTGGGGATGGGATTTGAGGTTTCAAAGGCCCATACCAGACCCAGACTCTCTATTTGCAGCCTGCTTATACATGAGGATGTAAGCTCTTAGCTACTGCTCCAGAACCATGCCTGCTTGCCTGCTGCTGTGCTCCCTGCCATAATGGTCATAAGCTCACACTCTGAAACTGTAAGCAAGCCCACAATTAAATGCTTTCTTTTATTAGCTGCCTTGGTCATGGTGTCTCTTCGCAGCAACAGAACAATAACAAGGCAGATGGTCCTGATCAAGTGTGTACAGCTTAGGGTAACTGTATCCTGTTAACTGGAATTATGTTGTCTTTCTTACCTGTAAAGATAATGTAAACAACTGCAGCCTCTACCTTTCCCCCACTGCCTCTAGGATGCTACTGGCTTGCATCTCTGGCAGGAGCATGAGTTAGGGATGGTCCTCCTACATCTTCTGGCCCCAGACTGTGGCTGTGGGTGTCAACAGAGGGTTGAGTGCATCCAAAATATTTCAAAGCATCTTCTGTGACTTCCCTAGAAATAGAATGTGTCCCTCACCCCCAATCTGTAACTAAGCTCTAAGGATCCAAGCCAACCTGCTACCTAAGAGGTAGGGTCAGGCTGAGGGCCTCAGGGGAAAGGATAGAAGTTGTGCCTGCTAAATGGCTGTCCCTTTTGCTTTCTTCTGCTGACCTTTAAAACAAACCCTGAGGTACATCAGATGGAAGTAAAAATAGCCTTCCTTGGCATTGAATAATCTGGCTTCCCTTGACAAAGAGGTCACAGATTCCCTTCCTGGGTGGTTTCTTCTTTTTGATTAACTAGGCAAATCTGTTGAGGAAAGCATATTCGACTCTTGTGAGGAAGAAAAATGGAAAAGCTCGAACAGAGGACATCTTTTTTTAAAGCTGCCTTTTTTGGGTGACTTCCATTTGATCTTCTAGAACCCGTGAAATATAGATCTGTGGGCTGGAATGACAGCAACAGAGCTAAATGTTTTTTTTCTTTTAAAGCAACTACAATGGGCCAAATATGTCCTAATCACAAAGAAATTGAAGCCCAAAGTCACGAGAGGAGGATTCCGTGTCCTAAGTGGAATTCGAGGGGGAAGCATATGCAGATGCAGACGCAAGCAGGGCTTAGTCCTTCCTCCTGGCCTTGTACTCTGTGACTCTCAGCTTCTTTTCCTCAGCTGCAAAAGAGGTGTAACCAGAATCTAGGCCTTTCTTTGTGTCCAAGACTTCTCCAACTGTAAATGGATTTCCACTGAAGCACTTTACTAATCTTAAAATGATTAAGGATGAAGACTTCAAAAGCTTGAGAAAATTAAAAGGATTATCAGGTCTCATGTCTAATTGTCACACTGAGTTTAACTTTGTAAAGATAACATGACAGCTTATTGAGTTATTTCATTAATACTTTGGGTTCTAGATAAAACTTTAATTCTGAGTCAAAATAATTTTAATGATATGATTTAATTTTTCCAGTGCTAAGTCATTTCCTGTTGGTGGAGCCAAAAATAATTCACTCATTTTCAGTCTGTAGTTGTAAGGAGCTTTGAGAAGTCTAGATGACCATGTAATCATCACTGTAACCCATAGAATATATTTCCATCACCTCAAGAAGTTTCCTTGTGCCAGTTTTTGTGGTTGTCAACTTTTCTTTCCAGGTCCCAGATACCATAGATTTTTTTTGTCATTAAGTATAGATTTCTCTTATGTACAATTTTGTATAAATGAACTCATATAGTATAAACTAATTGTACTTGACATCTTTCACTTAGCATAACATTTGTGAGGTCTGTTAATGTGAATATGAATAGTTCTTTTTTGTTGCTATGTATTATTCCCTTCTTAGGATATGCCATAATCTGCTTATCTACTCAGTCATAAATTATGGTCAGGGGATGGTTGCTTCCACTTTTATGAGATGAGTAGGAGTGAAACTACCACGAATATTTATGTGCAAGTCTCTGTGTTACATTTCCTTGAGTAAATATTATGAAATTGGACCTTATTGTACATAAGTGTATATTTCACCTTAATAAAAATTTGCTAAGCTGTTTTCCTTAGTATTGACATCATTTTCCATTTCATCTGCAATGAATTCCAGTTTCTTCATACTTTCTTCAACATTTAGCATTGTAAATGTTTTAACATCTTAGCTATTCTCACATGTGTTAGTGATGTTCCATCATGTTACTTATTTCCATTTCTCTAAGGATCTCTTTTCTTGTGCACAGTGTTGATTTGTACATCTGTCTTGAAATTTTTGTTTACGTATGTTGCCTGTTTTTTTGGTACTTTTAAATAGCTAAGTGAAATAATACAGAATAGAAAGTATCAGAGCACACTGAAGCTGGTATACTTTGTTTCTAAATCTAGACTGCAGCTACCTATGTATGAACAGAAAAAATGCACGCATTTGTGCTGAGGAGATGGCTCAGCAGGTAAAGTGGTTGCTATACAGGTATGAGGACCTGAGTTTGGATCCCTGGCAGCCATTTCAAAAGCTGGGTGTCATGGATCCTTCTTGTAACACTGTTCTAGGAAATCAAAGACAGGTGGCTCACTGACCAGCAAGTCTAGACAAATGTATCAGCTGCAGGTTCAGTGAGAGATCATGTCTCAAAAAATAATGCAGAGAGCAATAGAAAAAACATCTAATATCAACATCTGGCCTACACAAACACTGATATGCACACACACATATACTAACTCAAAGTTTTAAAAAACATAAAATAAAATGTAGATATTAATAGTGTGTTGCAATCTTAGATATATTTACCTCAGTGTTGTTAGGTGTGTACAAAACAGTCTCTTTTATAACTGAAGACGACCGAAAGCCATATTTTCCCATCCTTCCTGTCCCTTTACTTATTTCCCCTCTTCTACCAGGACTAAGGATTGAATCTAGGGTCAACATATCACATCCAAGCATTGACCACTGAGCTGCCTCCCCTGTCCTCTCTTGATTTTTCATCTTGATATCAAGTCTCCATCAATTGCCCAGCCTGGTCTAGTACTCATTCTGTCACCCAAGCAGGTGCAAACTTCCTGCCTTATCCTCCCTCCCAAATATCCAGGTTCACAGGCCTCCACCAAGGCCATTCAGATTTTCTGTTGCTCACCCACAAGAACCTTTGGTTCCATCTTATGAGCCTCTGAGATGACCTGTCTGCCTTCTACTTCTTACGTTAGACTCACCTGGAGTTGTGCATGTACGTGGGTCCACAGCAAAGCCTTCATCTCACCTGCTTGATTGCTGAAAGTGGACATCAGGTCTAGCTATTGACACTTGGATTCATGAGAAAAGATGGAAAAGCATGGTAGGAAAGAAAAAGTGTGATGTATGGCAGAAAAAAACTAGAGTAAAAATATAGGTGATTTTAGGCATCTTTTTTGTTTTTTGTTTTTAATAATTATTTTTTTATTTAGGTTAGAAACAATCTTGTTTCACATGTCAATCACAGCTCCCTCTCCCTCCCTTCCTCCCTCACCCTCCCCACCAGGTCCCCCAGTCCCCCACCCAATCTCCACTCCGATCCCCAGGGATCTCCAGTAACTGTCATTTCATCCAGGGCAGGGCCTATGCCCTTTAGTTAATTTCAATCAATTACCTTTCAATATGATAATAGTAGTTGTAGTTTTCCAGAAAGTTTTAGAGTTTATTAGCTGTGTTGGCTTCAGAACTTTGTACTTTTTGGGTAATTTCTTCCTCTACTGTAGCCTTACGAAGAAAAAGCAATTGTCTGTGTGTGGTTTCAAAAGAAGAGGAAAATTTTTTTGTTCATTCCTAAGATTCCTTCACATCAAAACTGAAGGCTAAAAGTATCCATTTTATGGATCTGAGTTGTTTAAGAGTTAGCTGTTTCTTGAATGGTCCCTGTCTTCACGGTATATATATATATACACATATATATATATGTATATGTATATGTATATGTATATGTATATGTATATATACATATATTCCCATACTAAGTACCTAGAGAGGGGGACATGCACAACCCTGTCCCCCAATCCGGAGAAAGCTGTTTCTTGAGGTACTGCTTAGCTATGTTAGGAGAATCCCAGCTGGATTCCCACATAGACCTCCATGTTTCAGGGTTTAGCACAGAACTTCAACTTTGTTTTATGGAAAGGTCAGGCATAGCTACTCCTAACTGGGCGGGAGCTGGGTCAGTGGAAGTCTGCTTTGTGACGCACATGTAGCATTGACAAACCAAGCCAATGCCATCAACTGTGTTCTCTCTCTTGTTTCCCTGACATTGGCATCTATCTAGAGGAAGCATGAGAGTCAGGTGGTTATCTGGACATGGGGTTGGGAATATCATTTCTGTTCACATTTGATTGGCCAGAATTCAGTACGGTGACCCCATCTGAGACTCACATCCAGACTGGCTCAGCAATAAGAGATGAGCTCTGACTTGATATACAGCCTATGCTTATTGTCACACTGTTCCTTATATTTCTTGTTCTGTAATTTCTTATTGAGAAGGCAAAACAGATACTGAATGAGCAAATGTAAACAGACTATTGAAAATGGCAACTATACCCAGCATAAGTGGCCTCTCTGTCATTTGATATTCTAAGGGTCCTTGAGCCACACGGGACACAGGGCTTCCAGTTCCTCTAGAACACAAAGATTAGGGTAGTCACGTGGGCTCTGGACCTGCCTGAACACTCTCATCAGTCGTCAGTTTATATCCTGATCATTCTTTGTGTCTTAGCTTTAGGATTTGCCCCCAAGTGTTCTCTAGATTTAGACTCTAAATTTGGTCCTTCAGCTGTCAGTTCTCAGGAGCCTGCTATTTGACCGGGAATTGTTCTACACAGACTGTCTGTCTCCACTTTCCGTCTTGCAGTGCTAGTATTACAGGTATAGATCACCATGCCCTACCTTTTTACATGGGTTCTCATGCTTGAGAGGCAAGCACCTCACTAACTAAGCTATGTCTTCAGCCATAGTAATGGCTCTTCTTGACATGGAGTACGGAGGGGGATCTTTGCTTCCACCCTGCCTTGAACATTTGGTGGTATTTGGAGGCATTTCTGGTCACAACACAAGAGGAAGGATGGCACTGACATCTAGTGAGCAAGAGGTTAGGGATGCTGCTAAAAATCTCGTAGTACATAGAATGGCTTCTTAAGACAAGTTCATCTGGCCCCAAGTGGTCATAGTACCGAGGCTGAGAAGCCCTGTTCTCACCTATGCTGAGATGTATAAATACAGTGCATTTGTATGTTGATCTCTGTGCCTAGACTGAAGGGATGCTAATTAATTGATAGTAGTCCCCACTGTACTGTGTGGCAAGTGCTCAAAAGTTTGTTCAGCAAATAAAATATTTTCAAAGATAATTTCATACACAGAAAAAAACTTACTGCAGCCTAGGAGGATGACCCCAAACTTGCCATCCTCCTGCCTCAGTCTGAGATTCCTAACATGTGCCATCCCATTGGGCTTCACACTCTTCCTGAAAGGTTCTGTGTTTGCCTTTTTCATGTTGGCTGGGTGATCTTGTCGGCCTTTGCTGTTCTGTAAAATTTCAAACTAGAGAAACCAAAGTCTACCTAGTGTGCAAGTCAGCTACCAGGAAGCAGCTGCCAGGGGCCACATTCTGCTTCTGAAGCTGGTACTTCTCATTGAGGCTCTTCTCTGAATGCTACACAAATCCTCAGTGCCTAACAGTGCCCATGTGCAGGATCTTCATCAATGGGCACAGATTTCAGGTTTCTGAGAAGGGAGAGTGTGGTGATATCTTACTTGTACAAATAAAGCCTATCTGAGGGTCAGAGAATGGAGCTTGCCACTAGCTAACCATAGTGGTTTGGAGATCTGTACAGACAGACAGGAACTGAGGCAGCTGGGCAGAAACAGAATATAATCAGGGAGAAACAGGAAATTGCTCTCTTGTCTACTGAAATGTTAAGGAGGTAAGGTATGCCATGGCTTACTCCTTCTCTCTGATCTCTCAGCATTTCTCTTATATCTGACTCTGACTTTTTATTATCTAGACCAATTAAGAACTTCATTTACATTTACCCATGACCCTCAGATTAAGAATGCCATGCTCTACCGACTGAGCTAGATGGAGGTTTCTGTTCCACCTGGTGCCACACCTATTTAGCCCCAAATAAACACACAGAGACTTATATTAATTATAAACTGTTTGGTAGATGACTTAGGCTTCTTATTGGCTAGCTCCCTCTTAATTATTAATCTGTGTATTTCTACATGGTCTTATCTTACTTGAGAATGCCTGAACCAGTTACTCCTTCTGCAATTACATGGTGTCTCTCTGGAGGCCTTCTCTCTCCTCCCCACAGAATTCTCCTCATCTGGGGGCCCCACCTGTACTTCCTGTCTACTGGCCAATCAGTGTTTTATTCATCAGCCAATAAGAGAAACACACACACACATATATAGAAGGACATTCCCCATCAGGAGAGTGTGAGTTGGGGGTGGGACCATGTGAGCTGTGTCTTGTCTCACTCCCAGGCCATCAAAACCACTCTTTTTATTTCCTCAGAGATATTTACCCAATATCCCAAGTCTTCCTTCTATGAGCGCTTACTCTCCTAGCAAAATTGAAGATGACATACCTGGGATGTGGGTACAGATAGGACACAGCATCAATACAGACAGAAAGCATTCTGTTTTACAGGGAAGTGTGGAAGTCCCATCAGATTGTTTGGAAAAGTCTCTTGTTTTCACTAGGAAGAGAAAGAAGAGAAGAAGAAAAAGAGGAGTAGGCATTTTTATAAAAGTCATTTATAGTTCTGTCACATGGAGAAAAATACTGTCAATATTCTTGAGTCTGTTATTGAGATTTTTTTCTCTACACATAGTATCATGTGGGATGTGTATTTGTTGTATTGATAAAGCTCAAGGTGTGGTTTCTGTCTTGTTCTTTTTATTCACTTTTAGTGTAAGAATTGGGAACATGGCTTTTAAATATTCAATATGCTGTTGTGTGGCTTTATATGTTTCTCTTTCATTAAACTGAATTCTCACAGTAGGGCTGATAAACCAAACA